AGAAAGAAAGAAAGAAAGAAAGAAAGAAAGAAAGAAAGAAAGAAAGAAAGAAAGAAAGAAAGAAAGAAAGAAAGAAAGAAAGAAAGAAAGAAAGAAAGCGGGCCAGGCATAGTGGTGCAGGGCAGGCAAATCTCTGTGAGTCCAAGGCCAGCCTGATCTACAAAGTGAGTCCAGGACAGCCAGGACTACACAGAGAAACCCTGTCTAGAAAAAACAAAACCAAACAAATGAAAATAAAAAACAACATAAAAAAAAGAAAAGGCAGGAAGGAAAACATTTGATTTGCATGGCTTTGATTGACATTTGGAGGCAGCTCAGCAGCTGATTGTCTGCTGTGCTCCCTCTACCCAGAAACCACTCTGGCTCTCTCTTTTTGCACAATCCCCAAGAAGCAAGGTAACCTACCGAGGAGCCTCCACTCACAGACCCCGCCATTTACAGCGTAAGGTTAGAAGGTGATTTTTAGAAACTGCATCATCTGTGGCGCTCGCTACTTCTCAGCAGAAACTCAAAAAGGAAGGAAGTTTCAGCCAGGCCTCAAATTGGCAAAATGCAATGCTTTATGTTTTTGGCCCTAAAGACAAATATGTAATCAGGGAGGTATGTAATCTGGTCTGGAAACTCAGGCCAGATAGGGTGACATGGAGAGAGAGGAGCACACACAAACACACATAACCATGAGCGCTCTGATTTGTGCAAACCACATTAATGGATGGCAGCTTCCTACCTCTGAAGTAATTTATAAATTAAAATAATTGCCTCTTTGAACTGTTCTGATATTAATTGACCTATCACTAATGTAAGAACAGTCTCCAAACCATCCAAACATTACCTAAACATTCTTATTCCCTTTATTCTGGAAATTCAAAAACCCACAAAAATAGACCCTCTGTTCTGGTGCCAAGGGTCATAAAGAAAAACCCATCATCTTTGATGACTTTGCAATTCTTATTCTATTTCCTCATCAAATTAACTCCAAGTGAAACAGTGAATACTCAGAACTTGAAGTCTTCCCACCCAGGCTCCCCTTTAACAGTCCCCACCCTGAGCACATGGATCCAGTTCTAGCTCAGATTTCTGGTAATGAGAGCAGGGCAATTCATTATTTTTTATTCATTTAGCTTTGGATCCATATCCCAAGTCACCTCAGATTATGGGCGCCTGGCATTTCCTTCCAAGGTAAATGAGAGAGAATTGAAGTTGGCTGGGATCCAGATGTGCACACGTGGAGAAGAGCGTGCCTGGGTCACTGAACAGAGGTGACCTTGACCTGTCTTGAAAAGACAAAAGCCATAGTGTTGAAGATAGGGGACTCCAAGCAGGGGTTCTAAACCAGGGACGTTTGGCCCCTGAAGGACCTTGAAGTCCCGAGACATTTGATGGTTATAGCTTGGGGAGAAAGAAAAACTACTGCTGCCATCAAATGGCTGCTGCGCACTCTTGAAGGAACATGTCACCTCCCAGGACACAAAGGACTACTATCCAGGCTCCATGTCAACAGTACCCAGACTCAGAAATCCAGCCCTGCAGTCTAGAAGTTGTATCTTATGTTGCCTCTTGGTGGTTGTGTGACCTTTGTATGTTTATTTCTTTGTATGTCTTTATGTGCGTGTTTGGGTATGTAAGCATGTATGCATGTCCATGCAGAGGTCAAGGAACAGGGTGTTAAGTGCTCTCTCACTGGCATGGAATGTAGCAAGCAGGCTAGGCTGACCGGCCAGGGATCTACCTATCGCCCTCTCCTCAGCACTGGGATTGCAAGCATACCCAGTATTCTTGGCATGTTTCCTGAGCCATCTGAACTTCAAAGTTTTTTTTCTATAAAATGAAGATAACAGTAGGATATCTAATTTTATTAACGTTCAATGAAAGAAATTGTATAGGTTTAAAAATATACTCTGTTTTTATTTATCTCCTAGTGTGTTTCAAGTAGAAGTCCCCATGATTTGGTGGTAAACTGTTGGCTTAACATGTTTTCAATTAGTATATCTTTGTCCCTATTTATGGAGTTCAGCACAGTAAGTTAATGCATGCATA